AAACCTACGACTCACTCGGACGGCCCTTCACCTCCACCTGTTGCTTTTCTTCTCCCGCTCGGCCTTGTTCTCGATCCCCCTCAACCTACCGCGACAGGGCCGGCTTTAGCGCGCTCGGTTAAACAGGACCCCATTTGAAATATTCATAAAATACCAAACCGTACAACCCAAGTAATTAAACGTTATATATACTTGAATTATATATAATTCAAGTATTTTTAAGAAAGGGCAACGCTGCATTATTTTAAAAACTTAACATTAATTTAAATGTCTTATTTCGAATAGGTAGGATGCTTTACGTGTAGATGTATTCTTGGTTGCGTTTTTCTCGTTTGACGGAGGGCGGGTCAACACAGTTTGTAAAAGAATGTGAGCGAACTGAAAACTAAATCTTATCATAGAATAATATAAACGATGTGGCTCCCGTCCCGAGGCGGGACTTAACTTCGATCCCGACAGACGTCACACACTGTAAATCCGTTTTTATTCCCCGAGCTTTTATAATTGGTGTCAAGCTGGATGGCTTAGATGGTAGGGCGGTCGCTTAATAAAATCTTCTCACCATTATCCATAGAGAACCACACTGCAGTTTCTAGGCGCTCTGTAAAATACCTCGGTATTATCCTGGACAGAAGACTGAGATTCGTCCCCCATATTACTTCTCTCAAGTTCAGACTCTCTCAAGCTCTTAAAGCAATCTTATCATCAAAAATTCTCCGCTGTCAATCGAAAACAAAATTACACTCTACAAATCCTGCATCAGACCGGTTCTTACCTATGGTTGTCTGGTATGGTGCAGCGCATCTAACACACAATACATAGCTTTGCAGCGACAGCAAAATAAAGCGCTTCGGCACATTACCAACTCGGGCAGATATACCCCTATTGACGACATGCATGAAAAAGCAAGCCTGCCTTATCTAAAAGAGTATGTCATGGATCAGGCAAATAAATTTTACACTAAGAAACTACACCGTCACCCGTTAACACGCCATATAACTACACTCAGACAACACCACAATGCGCGCTATAAACATGGCCTGATCTATGGCAGATTGCCGATATTTCGCGACCCCCCGGTGCATCACTGACACCGCGGTAGCTTAACCTTCAAAACAATACGCGACGTGGGAGATGTCTGATGGAGACATCTCCAGCCAGACTTTCAACATCCCCTTCAAATCCAACCGTAGTACCATGGTGCTGCAGGTCTTTTTCTTAGCTCTTTTCTATCTTTTGTGTATTTTTTCCAAATTTTTAAGAGGGTTTTTTCAATTATTTTTCCCTCGAAATCATTCTTTTAACTCTTCAACATCATCATTCTTTTTCGGCCAATTTTCTAGACTTCTATTCTTCTACCCGGATCAAGCTGGCCTCACATTCGCTCTGCGAGAAAAGGCCAGACAAACTCCATGCATTGGCAAAAAGGCTTAGTACAAGGGACAAAGACCGTTGGAAGACTGCGCTGCTACCACCCGTACCACGCATGTTCACCGCAGGGAGGCTTAAGAGGTGGAACCACACTTCCACGCGCCTCTTTACAGCCAACCACATCACCACATTGCGGCCTTTATTATTTACCCTTTTTATGATTTGTAATTATTTTAATTGAGAAATATATTGATTTTGATTTTTGATTTTGATTTTGGTCGCTTGGCATGTGAGAGGTACCGGGTTCGATTCTACTAGAAGTTGTCAAACTTTTTTTATTTTTTTTATTTTATAAATTTGTTGTTTCTTTGTTAAAAAGTGTTTTATTTTTCTCGTAACATAAATTTGCCCATTTTAGTTGGGTTTTTTGCTCAATGGGGCGGGGGGGCCCAATGGGGCGGGGGCGGTTGGGTTGTGTTGTTGAGTTTGGGTTGGTTTGGTTTTATGACGTAACTAACGTGCCCTTAACATGTATACAGGTACAATTTATTATTATTATTATTTTATTACAACATAACAAATCTTAAAATTATGACGTCAATCGGGACTGAACTTAAGTCCCGCCTCGGGACGGAAGCCACAGCGTAATATAAACTCGATTTGGTTACGGGCACTGAATTAAATGTGCGTATAACTCTACGACCTTTGGCAAAACTCGATCTTTTTAAGTATCTGGTGATATTTTTAGGGAATTTTCTGTTAAATGTTAAAATAGTCTTTCCTTTCGAATACAACACAATACAATTCAATACATATTTTGTTTATTTAATTAAGTTTAAAAATGTTAGTCGTTGTGATGTTATTGCCCCGAATAAGCAATATGTTAATTAATTTACACATAAGCAAAATGAAAATCCAATCGAATGGTTCAACAATACCTTTGATTCACTTAACGATACAACATGACCAGTCTTCGATTCAAGGGTGAAAGAATCAATGACCAAATCATTAATTCAGTAGAACTTGAATTGTTCGTGACTTATCTGTTCCCGAACCAGAAAGTGAATCAGTCGCGTCTGATTTACTAAAAATAATCTAACTTTTCATCTCCACAATGCAGAAACAGCGAATTTTTCGTAGGTCAACTTTAATTGGGTATCATCTAAATTATTTGTTTACAGTCTAAAATCAATTTTGGGATTTTTTTTCTATCTCCTTTAACCCTGCCTCAGTTTATTTAATGTAATTACTTTTTATTTAACTTTTTGGGTGTCCGTTATTTGTCAAGTTGTCTTTTTTCCTAAAACCATCCATTTAAATTTGGGATGTAACGATACCGATACGATATATCGATATACCCATCAGTGGCGGCTGGTGGATTTTATGTATACCAATATCTCAGTTATTAGACATGGCAACACCAAATTTATAACAATAATAATAAGTGAACTTTATTGCAAAAAAAAGTTAATACAATTTCTTACAAATGGCCATTGACCGAGGTCCTTCAGCCGGTGAACATATCTTGAATATATGTAAAAAACAAAAAAAAACAGAATATAATCGTGAAACGGAAATTAATTAATTAGTATGTTGTCTCGTATTTGTTTAAGATGTTCCCATATGGTCTTCTCTGGGTGCTTGAATTTTCTGTTGCCCTGTACTTCCAAACATAATTCGCTAAGAATGTCGTAGTTAGCGTCCTTGTTAATAAAGTTTGTAGATAGTTTGATAAATCTTTCCATAATTTCAAATTATTTATTAAATAAATGTTTACATTATATAACATATTTTAAAAAGATAAATATAACGATTTATTTTCGTGGGAGTGCCTAACCATACATGGTTGTATTGCTTCTTCCCAAGAAAAGACGTTAAAAATAAATAGGTATTTTACAATTTTAAACAAAAAAATTAAGAAAATAAAATCAAATATTTCATTAAATATGCTGAAACAAGCAGTCAGTAACTGTTGTAGAGAATTGGTTGGATGTCTCATTTTGGAGATTTTTCGGAGTGATGAGGTTTCCCCAGTTTTAATTTTGCTTAAGGCTGGTTTCCGGGCATTATTAAGTAAGATGCATCCATATTCCAGGATTAGTCTGCATATAAAGGTGTATATTCTTTTTTTTTGTTTCATCATTGATGCCGTTTTTGTTGTATGTAAGTCCTCTAAAGTGGCTGGCCCTTGTTAGTGTTTTCTTCTTTGACAGGGAAGAGTGAAGATTAAAGTTTACTTTATTATCCAGTGTTTTACGTTAGATTTTGGCTCTATTATGTCATTGTACATCTTAATTGTTATATTAGGGTCAATCTTGTTTTGGTGGAAGTGTATTAGATAAGACTTTAGTGGATTTGGTTTTAGTCTCCATTTGTTAAACCATGCCAAGATTTGATTTGTCAGAACTTGGAGTTGGTCAGAGGCAGTTTTTTGATTTTTACTATGGCAAATTATAGCGGTGTCATCTGCGTATTGAAGTAGGTACCTACATATTTATCTTGGTCAAAGAGCATATGATCTTCATTGTAGATGTCGGCACAATAAAGGTTATAGAGCAGAGGGTTTTATTGTTTATAATAGTTTATAATGACATTAAATAAACAAGTTCGGCGCAAACAGAATTTAAATTGAAGTTTGCGAAAAAAGTTAGTTTTTCCTGTCGCCTCACCCGCCTATTTGAGATAATTCAAATTAAAGTGGAGCAATTTATAATCTACTATAATTTATAAACAAATTTAAAATTTTATTTAAAAAATCCAAATATTACAGGTTTTATACCATTTTAAATATTTTTTATTTTATTAAAAAAACACCCACATTGTCTGAAGAATTTAAAAAAAAAGTCACTGGAAAACCGGGAAAAGTCGGAACAGTTTGATTTAAAAAATGTGGCCACCCTTTGTAACAACTTTAACCAGTCGATTTACAGATTTTCTATCCCGTTTACAAAAAATTTAATATTTGGTAAATTTTTAAGATAATGTAGAACACATGCACAGTCTGACGTATCTTTCACAAATGTTATACTAGGTAATCTCGCTAATTTGCCACCCACACAATCACCGGCTGAACATCATTATTTTTAAACATTTAATCAGATTCAGGCATAGCTAAAAACTTTATGACCTCAGGAGGGACGCGTCCGGACGGTCCCATCATCACTAGTCGACATCATTTCGTGTACGAATCAAGGCGGCGCGCAGCAAGCAGCTGTCGAAAAGCCGGTTTAAAATGTTTTGTAGTTTGCAAAACCGGGAAAATATGTTCAAACGCTCGTGGATTGGTCGCCTCTCGTTAGTCACACCAAGCTCTATTTTAGAAAATTACTAGGGCTACAAAATGTTTATCGAAATAAAATATCACGTTAACTTTTGGGTTTAAAATTTTTTGTTACTTTATTGGGGTTTATCATGTCTGCAAAGAAAGTTTTATGGCTAGTAAGGGATAGGGGAAGGTTTCTACCACATCTCACCAAATTTCACCAAATCTCACCAAGGGGGAAGGGGGTCCAAATTATTAAAAAAATACCTCACGTAATTAATGGATGTCCCCTTATGACATAAGGCCAAAAAATGATAAAATATAAAATAAAATTGGCTTGCCTTGCGGTAACTAATATTGTGTGCGTCTATTGTTCAAGAGGGGATTCCACTCCCTTCGAGAAATCTTCTCTTTCTTCAACTAGTCGCACAATATACTTACAATTTTTAAACATTTAATATATTTTTTAAAGATATTTAATTAATGATAATTATTAGCAGTGTTCGTTGATTTAAAGACTTATTAAATTATTATTTAAAAAAAAATCGGCTTTAAGATAGCTTGCCACTTCCGGCCTTACACAAACAGTACGCTACTGTCCTTATTCCTTTTGCTACTTCTACAAATTTCTAAGGAGGATGTGGCAGCCATGACCCATAACGAAAGGGGGGGGGTTATAAAAAAAATTACTGTATTATATATTTTAATAAAAATAGCCAACAAAATTCGTTGAATTCATACAAGTATCTCCACAAACAGATGAGGGGCAGCACATTCTTGGGGATAAACAATCTAAATCATTTCTACATTTTTGAGGGCGTCTACAACTTGCTCTAGATTCAGGACTTGAAGGTACTGGACAGCCAGAAGGTCTTACATCTTACAAATAAATAAAATCATTTTTATGGGATTTTAAAACAAACAAAAAAACTTACATTGGCAGCATCTCCTGTAATACCTGCAACAGTAATCACTCACAACATCTGTACAAGATCTGCACACATTTTGTACATTATTTTGAGAAAAAACGCAAGAAATTAATAAAACATTTAAAAAAAGACTAGCTTTAAGCATTGTTAACAATAATAACAATAATTATTTTGTAGTATAAAGGTTTTTTACAATTAAAAACACAAAAGATATCGTAACATTGATTAAGAGGCCGCGATCCATGTTGAATTTAAATCAATTTTACTTACAGACCTCGGTCTGTGATTTTAGTAAAATCATTTTACTAGTTATTTATAAAATGTTGAATTATTTAAAACACCAAATATTGGTAAATAAACTTTATTAAAATACAATTAATTTCAAATATTTTATTTATTACAAAAATACACATAAAACTACTAAAAACACCAAATATGAAATGCCATTAATATTACCATTATTGTAAACTCTAATAAACGGATAAAAAAAGTCGTAAGGTAATTTTACTTCAAACGTTGGAGGATCCACAAATTTTTTTCTTTTGTGGATAGATATATCGTAAAACATAACTTTACTTTTCAAGTCCATCTCAAAATAATGGGTGATACTATTATTTTCATAAGAAAAACTCGTGTTTCGAGCTTTATTAAATTTAAAAGTGATGCCCAATATTTTTTCTTGATTTATCAAATTTTTAAAGTCAATTCTGGTATGGAAAATATCAATTTCAAGACCAGAGATTATGTTTAAACAGTATAAGCTCTCGTTTTTATTGATAAAATTTCCAATAGTATTATTTATTGTGTTTTTTATTGAAGTTTCCAAAAGAATGGGCCACCAATCGCTTAGTTTGTCGGAATCAGCATCGCCAAAATATCCATAGGATCGGTTTTCATCTTCAGAAATTAGCCAATTAAATAAAATATCACGCTGTATTTTTCTGCAAATATTTGTAGGGTGTTCGTTTTTTATTTTCTGAGTTTGTCCTCTATATTTGCATTTTGTCAGAAGATTGTAGCCAAATTCTATGGGATTATAAACGTGGTTGTTTAAAACACAAACTCCGTTAATATTTTTTGGTACCACCAAAAAGTTTTTTAGGTAATTTAACGAATCTCTGGATATGGTGAAATTTGGGTGAGATTTGTTACCGAAATTTATTGAACATCCAATTAAAATGGGCTTTCCTGTATTATACCCGGGACTACCAGAAAGTACTGCCGAAAAACTTTTACTTTGATTTACCCAAAGAAAATTGACTTCGTAATCAATGTAATGCTCGTAATCCGCATTACTAAATTCGTACTTAACTAAAGTTAGCACCATCAGTACCTCCACCGATTTAATACCGTTTGTACCGTTATGATAAATATTATATTTTGCCTTTTTTACCACATTTTTACACGTATTTGTGTTTTTTACTAAATCGTATTGGCAAGATATCTCCAGTTTCTTGTCGGGTTTTAAGATGTTTACGCAAACGTTGAAATTTTCATCGCAAATTTTAGCAGTTATCGGTAAGCAGATGTTTTTCGGACAACCCTAAAAAATATTAATTTGAAAAAATTTGTATGGTACATTTAAATCAAAGCGAGCCGAACAAATTTATTTGCTTGCTCTCTTAAAATGAATTAGTCAAAAATAACTAATTATAAGTCATATTTGACTAATTGTCATAGAAAAAAAGCAGTCACTAATAATTAGTCAAATTCTACTGAATGAAATAGGTACCGTAAACACGGGTGGCTTTAGCTCCCTTTCAAACTTAAGCTTAGAAATGTTGTGGTTTTGTGGTACCAAAATTTGAGTCTTGAGTTGCTCTTTCATAATAACTATGTTATATATATATATATATACATATAATATTATAATATTGTGCATGGCTGAGTTTCAAAAATAAAAATTAAAAACTGGGTGTGCAAAGTTACCCTGCTTGCGGGTAACTTTGTCTCACGGTGTATATTCCGTATAAAATTAACTCAATATTTTATTTTATTTTAATTAGACACATGTTAGCAGCGACATATACCGTCATCCGGGGTGATTTCGGACGATTTTTGAGTATTTTTTCAAATAGCAGCTACAATTTTTATTAAAAAAATTTCAAAAAAAAAATTAACATACTTAGGCCTCCTCTCTATCCATTCCATACAAGAAAAAACTATATTTTCATGTCCTAATGTTTTTTTTTATATATAAATTGTGTCCGAATTCACCCCTATGTGTGGGGTGAATTTGGACGCCCATTGTTTATACCTTATAATCAAATTGTGACATACGCTGAGGTGAATTCGGACAAAAAAAATTAAAAAAAAAGAAGTTTCGCACATTTTTTGAGTATTTCGCACAATTTTTGGGCATGAGAAAATCACAATAATTTGAAACATATATATTTATAAACATTTGACAAATAATAAACAAAACTCATTAGTTAATTAAAAATATATATTTTTATAAATAAATAAAAAAAACAAATATTCTAACATAATAATAAAAAACATATTCTTAAACTAAAATAATATATCAAACTAAAAAGTGCTTATATTCTTCGGAAATTTAAATTGATATCGTCCCCTTCGCGCATCTTTTACAGATCGGAGGACAAGGATTAATTGACGTCTTTCAATGACACTTTCATCTTTAGTTTGGGGGTAATAATAATAATCTCCCATCTTGGAAGAATCGTGCTTTCTTAGGAAATGAACCATATATGTATCAGGATCAACAACTTCCCTGACACAGCCGACATAGTTTTTTGTTGTCTTTTCGTTAGTCAATTTAACTATTACAAAAGTGTCAGTTGTAATAACTGCATTTTCTGGATTCTCAAAAGCATTCGAGTCCCTCTGAACTTCTTTATTATGTTTGTTTTGGTTATAATGTGAACTTGATTGAGAATATATATCTTCTCCATCAAGTTCACATTCTTCCACACTTTCACTCTCAATTTCTTCATCGGCTGCATCCATATCTGACAGATCTAGCTCAGATGATGAAGGGGAAATCTTTCTTTTAAGATTTTTTACAGCTTTTCTCGAAGCAACATTAAGCATTTTGCCTCTTCTACACGTCGCACAGTGTTTCAATTTTCGAAATTTTCGGCAAAATATCAAGGAGTAGTCGGATTCTCCTAAAAATCCGTATATAGAGGTTTTTAGGGTCGCTGATAACGAATCTGGAATCAGAATTCCAAAATTCAAAATGGTAGATCCAAAATGGCGGACATATTTGTCAAAAAATTGACGGAATAAATTGAAAATCACCATACAGGCTTTTTGGGATCGTTGATAACGAATCTGGAATCAGAATTCCAAAATTCAAAATGGTATTTCCAAAATGGCAGACATATTTGTAAAAAAAATTGACGGAATTAATTGAAAATCACCATACAGGGGTTTTTGTGGTCGCTGATAATGAATCTGAAATTTGAATTCCAAAATTCAAAATGGTGGACCTCAAATGGCGGACATTTTTATCAAATATTATCGAAATTAATTAAAAACCCGTAAGAGGTTCTTTTTAAAATGTAATAAAACATCTTTTTATAAAATAGCTTAATTTAGTTTATTATAATTACATTTATATGATATTATTTAATACCTATATATTAAATATCCGTCACTGGATTCGCTCGTTATATCATTAGCAGAGCATGGGAAACCATCAGAAGATAGCAACAGTTTTATTGCTTCGCGGAACAAAGATTTGCTCTTTTTCGGAGCAAATTTTCTGAAGCTAGAAAACTTTCAAAATTTATTTATAAAATTTAAATATAACAGATTTTAAACTAAGTATTTTAAATTTGTATTATTTCTTTTACTTAATATTTTAGCAACGATTTCTTAATTCGCTAAAAAAATTGTCAACACAAATAACCACAATTCAAATTTGACATTAACACACTACAATGCGCATGCGGAGTTGTTTTAACGCACCTACAAGAGGTGGGTTAAATATGTAAAATCGGTGTTAAATATCTTAGTAGTCACGAACGATTTACGCAAGTGAAAGTCTAGACACCGCTGTTGTAATAAACGTTTTGAGTTAAATTCGAGTGAATCGAGTAAACGTCATGAACGCAACCCAGAAATAAAAAAAATATTATATTTTGTAAAGCAAAGACACAGATACGCCGTCGACATAGGCTTAAATCGCGAGGTTTTTTACCACAACCGCGCCTGAGCGCCCAAGACCATGTAGTTTTAAAGAGCCGGGGGCAAGTTGGGGCAGCTAATTTATGGATGGCTTGATAGACAAAACTCTAAGCTATTTAACGGATCTTGAACTGATGCCTTACAATTCATTACAATTTTTGTAGCTCCATTGTTCTAAAAGCTCGATTCAAAGTTTGCGATTTTAACAGACCGATCTTGTCGGTTACAATAACCCGTTGTACAAGCAAAATCTACGAAAAACAAATACATATCTGAATTTTAGATACCTTGAAGATCACCCTTCATCAAACCGCATAACAATCGGACACACCAAACACAAGTTATTCACTTTTAAACAATAAACAGTTTTTCGCAGCGATCGCGTGTAAAGTACCTTTAACTGAAAGCGTCAAGTTTAAACTGATGTACAAGACAAAATATACCTATTTTATATAATTTTTTTCAATACAGAATGGAGACAGGTATTAACTACCCATCTAACTCAAAATTTACCTGAAAAAAAATGTCAATTTTTGAGGTTTTGCCGATATTTTCCAGAATTGAAACACTGTGCGTCGGTCCAATTTCTTCATCGGCTGCATCCTCATTTGGCAGCTCTAGCTCAGATGATGAAGTGGAGACCTTTCTTTTGGGATTTTGTATAGCTTTTCCCGGAGCAACATTGAGCTTTTTGCCCCTTCTACGCGTCGGTTCTTCAGTAAATCGTTTATCTTTGAGTATCTTCAGTAAATCGTTTATCTTTGAGTAAGCCAACAAACGTTTGAGACCATAAACTGAATACCGAGTTTCTTCACATATTTACGAGGCATGGCTGTCCGAGTTCACTAAAACTACATGTATTCTTGGTCGTATCTAAATGTCAACTGACTTAAAAATCTAGAATATACTAGCGAATACACTGCGTCCGAATTCGCCCCTACTATCCGAGTTCACCCCGTATGACGGTAGCGATTAAAAGGGATTACCGATAAAAAAAAAAAAAATCGACCTGTAGTAACCAAAGATCATCATTCCAAAGGATTGTGCATAATATAGAAATTGTAACGCGTGTATGTATTTTTAAGAGTTTTACACTGATGCAATATATACAATTTTAAAGTGTAATAAATCTCATTTATTTCTTCAAAACACTGATTTTCCTGTAATATAAACTTAATAGAATCGTTCAGTTGACAGGTTTAGACCAACAAATTATAAATGTTAATTTTATCGAGTTCGAAAATATTTTTCATGAAAGGGTTAAAGTCACCCGCGGGGTGCAAAGCCACCCGTGTTTACGGTAGTCAAATTAGTAGATTTAAATTTAAAAAAAGTTTTGACCCAGCCGGGGATTAAACTCAGGTCTGTCACTTGTCAAGCTTGTCACGCTTGTCAAGCTGTTGTCATAACCCATTCGGCCTTCAGCCGCTCTTATAAAAAATTTATTTGTCAATAAATATTGTTCATAATATTTTAAAGTTGAATATATTATTTGTGTTGCTGTTTTGAGCTAAACTTTTTGCATCTTTATTCGTTTTTATGGGTCATTTAACCATAGAGCTTAGGTATATGCATTTAATTCAAATAATACTTTGTTGTTGGCCGCAAACTATTAAAGAAATAAGTTCAGGAAGAAGATGGACAAGCCCCAACGATTTGCCTGCATGGGCTCTAATTATGCATAATTAGAGCTTTTAGAACCACTCTAACACTGGCAATGGACGCCACACTGGGACTGGCGCCTCTACATGTAGTCCAGGCCAGGCCTGGACTGAGACTATCAACCGGGACCCCCTTCTCACAAGAAGGGATGCAATGCTAAAGACGTCTACCCCCCTCAGAAGATATAAAGTGGTTTTCCCTTCCAGAAACGACTGGAGCGAGCCTGACCCAGGCTTTCTCAAACCGGAAGGGCTCATCTGTACACAGACAGGTCTCTAATAAAGGAAGGTGCAGGAACTGGTGTATATGGGGAGCGACCTGGGGAGAGAATAAGCCTTGCACAGTCTATTACACTGTACTAGTGTACACACAAAGGAAAAAAATCGATCAAATTGACCTGCCTGGAAAAAATATATTTAAAAAATGTACATTTAACGAAAATTCGACCATGTGCGACTTGCATGGAAGCAAAAATCATCCACTTATATTAAAGGTTTTAAAGATGGAAATATTTTATATTTGAAAAAATGTAGGTACATTAAAAAATTAAAAAAGTATTTTGTACTTACTTGAAAATGTTCATCATAGAATTTCGATTTATTTATTGCATTCGGCGTTGCCAAAATCGATATATTATGAAAATAAGTGATAAAATTCAATTTTTTATTGTCGTCGCCTACGTTTAATACTGAGCATGTTGTCTTAGCATTTTTTAAATAAAGGATTTGTTCCTTATTATTACAAACGTCGGTAAACCAACTAACGTCAATGTCTAAAGAAACACAAAACAAATTATTAAATTATAACTAAACAAATTCAATTTTTAACATACCAAATTTTTGAATTTTATTATTTCTGATTATAAATGTTGGACTACCGTAAATAAAATCAACAGTAAGATCTTTTTTCACTGTCCCACCTGGTGGCCATTCCTGGGAAACCCAAGATAATCTTCCTGTTTTTTGCAATAAGGCCTCTTCGAATGTTAAAAGGGGCTAAAAACAAATAATAAAACAACTGTTTTCAGTAACTTTTCATTTTATACCTGTTTTTTCTGAATTAAATAAGATGCGGGCAGATTCGAGCTAGCAATGCAAAACAAACTGTTCTGGTTTACATGCCATTTCTGCTGAGTATTATTTTCGTAAATGTATTTTATGTAATCGCAGTAGCGCGTGTCATAAAAAATATTTTCTTCATTTTTGCAGTAGCCAAAAACTTGACGATCCTCAATGGTACAGTCAGAGTCACAACAACAATTTATATCACATATAGTGCGTTGATTGTTACAACTGCATCCTTCTTTCGGTGTTTCCAAGTGAGTTTGTTTTTTAATTTTATTTTTGGACTCTTGGCTTTTTGGTTTTGGTGTCGTAGTAGTTGGTAAAGTGGTAATATTTTCATTACAAGTGGAGGTTGCACTACAAGTAGTGGTTACTATTTCTGTAGTGGTTGATATTAAAGTTGTGGTAACATTTTCTTCTGTTACTGGAGTTACAGTTGTTGTAATATTATTTGAAGCTGTAGTTCCAAAAACATGAACATAATTTGCAATAATTATAAAACCTATAGCTAACAAACAGTTCATTTTAATGATATTCCACGCCATAGTTACTAAAATTCCTCAATATCACAGATAAATTAAAGGACACAACTCCCATAGCCTCCGTAGAAAGCTTATATCTTTCCCCGGCGGAGATAATAATATCTGGGTATTTTAATTGTAGACCGCCTCCCAAGAAATACTGTACAAATCTTTGCCGTAACGATCCTAATGGTCTCCAAGTGTAGCAGTCCAGTAAATGGGTGCCTGGGCTTGTTGGAACTGTTATAACACCATATCCAAAAAGATGCGCCCTACCCAACCAATCCAGGTGAAATACTTGAACGTAAATTTTTGGCCAACCTTAAATATCCTTTTTTTCAAAACATTTTATGTATTTTTAATAGCGTGTTAATTAAAAATAACTAATAATTGTTATGCTCATTATTTTTAATTAATAGCTTAGGCTAAGAAAATATCTCGGGAGGTAAATTTTGTTAAAAATTGAAGGCTCCACTAAATTATGCTATTCAAAAGTAAAAATGTCATGGCCAGTGTTGCCAGATTTAGGCCTAAAATATCCCTCACAAGGTAGGCCCTTGATTTGAATTATTAGGTTTATCTCTCCAGGCGCTTTCTGACTCGTAAAAAGATTATGTTCGTACACACACGACTATAGTCATGGCGTACATTAATTTTTTACAAACTGTCACACCTTGTATCCAGTGGCGTAGCTAGCCTCGAGGGGGGCCCCGTGTCAAAAATCTGGTAGGGACCCTTGTAGGGGAAAAGCTGCTGGCAAAAAAATTTCTGGGTGTCACGCCCAAAGTCTATTTTGGGCAAACAAAATTTTTTATTTAGGGTATAAATTTTTTTGCATTTACCAATTTTTTATACCGTTCTTCAACATCTTTTAAATTATTATTAATTTGAAATAATTGTAACGCTAATAATTATTTCTAATTGGCTATTAATATAACCTATGATAATAACACGCAGAGCACATAACAATATGCGCAGAAAGCACCGCAGACAACGCATAGCGGAAAGGTGCGGGCAGAAACAATTCGTATGAGTTCACGGCCTCGATGGAACAGGAAGGTATTCAGGAAAATTTTAATTTAATATATCGAAGTTTAAAAATTTAAATAATAATAATATTTTTTTTATTTAATTTGATGCCTCAATTTTTGTAACATGTGGGTAATAGGTATGTTTTTTGCTTACGCATGTCGAAGCCAATCGGGGGCCCCGTATACGGCTGATACCGCGGTAGCTACGCCCCTGCTTGTATCTTAAAATCGTTGTAGGTTTGAATAACATATTTGTCATAATTTTTATACGCTCCAGAATTTTCTACACGCACTGTATTTACCTTGAATTCCAGCTGTAGCTAAATGTATATCTATGGGAAAACACCATTTACTTTTATTATCAAATTGAGAACAAGAAACCTGAGTTTGTCCCTCTTTTTTACCAGAAATGAGTTTCCAATTGTTACCTTAAAATAACAAAAAATGCATTTATTTAATAGCTAGGGGCAGGCGCGGATACAGGGAGGGGCAATGGATGCAATTGACTCACGACCAAAGCACTTTATTTTGACCAATTTCAAAATTGGTTTAAGCCTAATTCAAATGCACGTATTACATATGGATAACTAACTAAAATGTTATCAAGTTTTTTGTTTAGAACGAGCGAGCCCCTTAGCCCCCCTCTGGATCCGATACTGAGCGCGGTGATATATACATTTTAACTGGGATTTGTAAGAAATGTTACAGCACTACAAAACTACATTTTGCTGCAACTTGCTGGGCAACATTGCAGCAACGTTGCAAAAACATTGTCAAAAGGGCCGCGCTATTGGCTTTCGCTAATGACGTACGTTAAATCTGTGGGTAAAAGGCATAAGGGGTTAAGTCAAAAAAAGCAATTTTTCGGTAGAGACTTAAACGTGTTCGCATTAATTCAGGAAATATATTTATGGTTAGCGAGCACACCCTTTTGCTAGCATATGACATGTGCTGGCAAAAGGATATACCCGCTAACTATAAATGTATTTCCTAAATTAATGCGAACACGTTTAAGGCACTACTAAAAAATTGATTGTTTTGACTTATCCCCTTATGCCTTTTACCCACAGAAATATAAAAATACAAAAATAGAACATAATTTTTAAAGCTAATTTTAGGTTCTTCACAAAATATTATTTTTTCGATTAAAAATTGGGGTTACAAAAAATTAATATTTTTTTTTTGTTGGTAATAAATAAATTTAAATACAAACAACCCATTTAAAGCCTTGCAATCTACTATGTATATGTACAAAATTTATGCGGTCTATTTTCATAAATAAAAAGGTTATGGATTTTTTATGAAAGCAGACCTAGTATGTCTGACACACATAGATTTTACATAGTGCGACGCGACGTAGGGATGGGCTATTGGGTACTCGCGGCTATATCTCACACCTAATCTGTAGTATGAATCATTAATAATTATTTATATAATTATTAATTATTTATATATTTAATTGTCACAATCCAGCCTGCCCTTAGATATATTATACCTCTATTGCTCAATGCGGAGGGGCCCAATGGGGCGGGGTCGGTTGGGTTGGGTTGTTAAGTTTGGGTTGGTTTGGTATGGCACAATGCAGTGTACCTGCATAATCAAGATGACAGTTAATCGTCATAACCTTGAGGAATACTTTGCTACATTTAGCCTCTAGTGATAGGGATTAGGTGTGAGATATAGCCGCGAGTCTATTGGGTTATTGCAAAAACCGGTTATTATTCTTGCAGTTAACCGGTTATATCAGGTTATAATCGTTTACTGGATGTAATAACCGGCAAAAAAGGTTATTGTGTGGAACACTACACCTTTGTTTTACAATGCGAAATTCGCATAAGCAACAAATAAATAAGATTTGAGAAGAGAAAGGAGGTTTATTTTGGCAATGTTGGCTGCCCTGATCAGTGGTTGGCTGCATTGCGCCCACTATACTTTTTGAATATAAAAGACTATATATACAGTTCTGTGTTGTCCGCTGAAGTGACAAGAGTCCTTGGGAGGACAATATGGGGCTCACAGCACAAAATTAAGCTGATCAGTGCCAAAACTCCAAAATCTACATTAGATTTGTGAAGATGCAATAAGTTCCCACAAAGGATGGTCGAAATATTGAAAGATTGAATAGTCATGTGCAAACCGCCATGTAGTGCATCGTGGGTTTTTTTTGCTATTTTTTTTTGCCCTCTATTTTTTTGTATGACTTCCGCTGCGTGTATCGTGATTTCGTTTATGTTTGAGACATTGGTGTATTAGTGAAATAAGAATGACTTTAAATTATAAGTGTACCGATAAGTTTTGTTAAGCTCGAACCGAAATGCTAAAATAAAAGATTGTTTTATGAACTATAAAGACTGAAGTGATATTGATGGACATATAAGTTTGAAGAATAAAATAAATAATCCAGATGAAAACGAGAAGAAAAAATAATTAATATTGAAAAGAAAGGGAGCGGCTATAGGAATCCTAGACTCGCCCTCCCCAGTTATAGCAGTATACACATTTAAGTTGGCTAAATCCTGGATGGGAAAGGCCAAACCAAACAAAGAAGAAGAAGACTATATATAATATTCAAAGACCAGTGGCGTATTTAGGGGGGGGTCCGCCGGGTCCGGACCCCCCCCGGGCGCACATATTTTATTATTTTTATTACAAAAAAAGTTCCTTTTATTTACTATTTTATCGGATCAGAAGAGTTTCTAATTTGTGATTTTTTAGTTATTAAAGCATAGCATAGTATAGACTATACTGTATAGTATTTAGGATTTAGCTCCGGGGGGGTCCAAAAAAACTAACTAAATATGTATACATATTTAGTTAGTTTTTTTGGACCCCCCCCGGAGCTAAATCCTAAATACGCCACTGTCAAAGACTATACTATACCAGAGATATCTCTGACTTTACTCATGGTACTAAGATAGTCTTATTACCATGCGCCGCTTGGTATGTAGCGCAAGAAGACTAGAGACAGGAGGACAATCTTTCTTGTCGACACAAATTAAACAAACCCAATCTAATTAGGGCTAATCAAATCAAGTAGGATGACGTTTTCAATGTGTTTGAAAGTAATTCGTTCATGAAGTACTGAGAAACTTCATCATTGCAGATGCTTTTTGCCTCACCCCCGGTTTGTTTTCTAGTCATTGGTTAACCATATAACCGGTTATTTTAAGGCAGGTTAACTTGAGAGGTTATTTTAATTTTTTAATTAACCGGTTACCGATAACCGTTTTTCATAACTGCGCATCCCTAACGCGACGTCGCGACGCGTCGCACGGACGTTCCTATTAAAAATCTGACTAGACCACAGGTCTGTGGACTAAACAAAAGTCCCAAATTTTTGAAATTTAAAAAAACATAAGGTTGGTCCTAATCTGATCTTAGATAGTTGCAAACCCATAAAATACAATTAAAATTAAAAACAAAGCAATACAGACTGTATAATTGCAAGTAAAAGTCGCTTATTTAGCTTAAATGTTAATAAAAAGTTTGGTTCAGCCTGCGGTAACTTTCTTTGTGACGATTTTATCAACGAATAAAACTATATATATACATATAGGTATTTACTTTTATTTTTCATATATTTTAAATAATGTATTTATTGTTAATTTCTTATTTGGTTGTTGTATACAACACAATATAATTATAGGAGAAATTTCGTATTTTTTTTTACTTTTCTTTCATTTACTAAGCTTGCAATCGCAAAGGCCATCAAAGTCCGTTATGAAATTACATGTATTAGTTAATGTTTTTATTTAAGTATAAAATTATAATTTTTCTGTGACCATATTCGACCAATTTTTTTGGTTATTACGGTAGATCCTCGATAACTCAAACCTAAGTCGTTGGAAAAAACCGTTCTATTCCGTTGAAGTACCGCTTGCGGCCATCTCACCATTTGCGGCCACTACTAGCTATTTATCAATTTTGTAAGCAAACAATGTTGATAAAGGTCAATCATAAACTTTAACCGCCAAATTTGAAATATTGTAATAATAGCTAAACAATTTCTCGCTATGTGGCGCTACTAGTCTATATATATGGCGGCGTTAAAACTTTGGTGATCGGAAAGATACGATTTCTTAAGAATTTTGTTAAGGAAAGGGGTAAGTAAATTGTTTGTTTATTTGTAAAATAATTACTACAGTCCACAATTAATGTTTTTACAGTAATTGGATATTATTAGGGACTCTATTTTCAAGTAAAAAGCTAACATATTTTATTTATTTTAATCAAGACTGACATGGCCTCAACCGGTGTAGAAATTATTATAAATATCCAGTTGCCGCCACCATAGTGGCCTCTACAGGAGCAATAAATTTATAGTAGCGGCCACCGTGGCCGGAACTGATACATTTATATATTTGTTACTTCTGACGGTTCAGGCCACAATGTTTTAAGGAGTAGGTGCATTCATGTATACTGAATTTTCCTTTTTTTTAGGAATACAATGCCAAAAGCTCCAAAAAATAAAAACACGCTTACAAAAAAGAAAAAAAATGTTACAAATTTATTTAATTACACATCTGAGCAACTAAAAAATGCCTTGGAGGCTGTAAGAGGTGGAATGACAGTTTTAAAATCCTCCAAAACATTCGCAGTTCCCAGAAGTACTTTAAGGTACAAATTATCTGGTGCTCGCCCTGAAACTTTTGGAAAGGTAGGGCCAAATTGTGTATTAGGGTTGAAACAGAAAATGCGTTATGTCAATGGATGAAGGCATCATGTTCCAAGGGGTTTCCCATTACTAAAGATGGTCTTTGTTATTCGGTGCAAAAATTTTTAAATGAGACCAAACAGGAAACGCCGTTTACCAATAATCTTCCAGGTCGTAAATGGTTTGAAGCATTTATGACTCGTCATCCGGAACTATCCGTAAAACGTTCTGAGTATATTAGTAAAGCACGTGCAGCTGTGACTGAGGAAAAAATTAGGCAATGGTTCAAAAATACTTTGGAAGATCTTGGAGATCAAGCATCAATACTTAATGATCCAAAACGTGTGTGGAACATGGACGAAACATCATTTTACCTAAATCCATCTGGAGGTTGTGTTATTGCAGAAAAAGGCAAACATGTATATGCGACGTCAAGTAATAGTGATAAAGAAAATATCACCACACTTGTTGCAGTAAACGCTTTAGGAGATTACGCCCCTCCACTAACAATGTACAAATTTGAAAGAATGCCTTCAAGTTATTTTGATTCCGCACCTCCACACTGGGGAATAGGAAAATCAAAAAATGGTTGGATGACAGCGGAGTCTTTCTTGGAATATTTTGTTAACGTGTTTCATCCGTTCCTGTTAAAGAGCGAATATACTTTCCCAGTTCTCGTATTCTTAGATGGGCACTCTTCGCACCTCAGCCTACAACTCAGCAAATTTTGCAGAGATAATGGTATAATAATTGTTTGTTTATACCCTAACACCACCCCTTTAGACGTGGCATTTTTTTTTCCTCTCAAATGTCAATGGAAAAAGGCTTTGCGAACATGGAGGATAGATCATGGTGGAATGGAAATAAGAAAGCAAGATGTACCAAATCTTCTCAATCAAATATTAACAACGGTCTCGTTTAATTCAACTATCGTTAATGGATTTAGAAAATGTGGGCTATATCCGTTTAATGTAGAAAATGTGGACTTCGGAAAATGCGTCAATAAAACTAGTAGTATCGTAAATGAACTATCACAAACAGAAAACGTTAGCAATATACAAATAGATTTTATTAATTTTAAACAAGAATGTTTATCTTACATTGAAAAAAAAAGCGACATTGAAAATGAGACCCACCAACAGGAGATTGAAACACTCCCTGTTCTTTGTGAAAATGTTATTGATTTTCCTTTTCCCGAATGTGAACACGTTACTGCTGAAAATTCATTGTTAGTCCGCAATGATGAACTCATAAACTCGTCTATTTTAAGGAATTTAGAAAATTTATTTCAGCAAAACGATAGTAGCGAACAGAGACAAAAAATTGAAATGGACAAAAACGTAAATGATGACAAGACAAGACATTTAATTTAAGTTCAAAAGATAAAGAAATTCAACCAAAGCACTGTGATATAAATTTAAACTTAAATAGTAACTTGGAGTCTGAAAAAGAGAATATTTTAAGTCAAACTAAGTCCTGTGATAAAGAAACTAAAAAAATAAATATTTTAAGTAACATATTAGTGATACCAGAGACAAATATTAACCCGGCTAAGAAAAAGAAAGCATATAATTCTAGCGTTTTAACCAGCGCAGGCTGGATTGAAAATGAAGAAAAAAAGAAACAAATGAAACTGATTGATGTTAAAAGAAAAGAAGAGAATAAAAAGAAGAGAATTGAAAATAAACAAAAACAAATTGAACTCCAGAAGATGAAAAAACCTAGAATAATAAAAACCAAAAAAAGACTATTTAATAGTAAACATTGCAAAAACAAAGCTATTGAAATTGCAACAATTGATGTAGAAGCAGAAAATGAATTAGGAAATGATAATGATGACAGGAATAAAGAATTTGAAGAAAATGAAAATTCCGAATTTAATAACGAAGAAAACCTAAAATCCAAACCAGAAAACAAAATCCATTATAAATTGGATACTGCATTAACTGAAAATTTATACGTCATCGTAAAGTTTGAACACAATTTTTATCCGGGAAAAATAACAAAAATATGTGATGAAGAATATACTATCAGTACAATGACAAGAGCTCTTAATAATTGGAAATGGCCATATCAAAAAGATGAAATTACCTACAAAAAAGATGAAATAATTCAAATTATTAATGAGCCAATCAAAATTAATTCTAGAGGTGTCTTTTCTGTGCCAGAAATGGATTAGTTTTAAGTGGCATACGTTTTAGTTTCTTATATTTTATTGTTTTTTTATTTTATTTTATCTTATTTATTTTGTTTTAAACTTGACCAAATTTATTTATTTATTTTGTTTTTAACAATGTACCTATTTTAAGAATTTAATGTTTTGTAATAAACATTTTTTATTTTTTTGACCTTCATGCACATTTTTCATCTTTAAATCTACATATGGCCTCAACTGGTGACAAGAATGGCCTGAACTGGTGGTTTTCTGGCCGGAAATGGTGAAAATCGTTTTATTCACTTTTTATCTTCTATTCTTGTCTTTTGCATTATTTTTATGAATGTTCGTCTTTGTTTAACTAATAAAGAGGTCCATGGCCAGTTTAAGATAGGTATTTGTAAAAGTTAAGTAGAAAATTATAAAATTTATGTTTAAAGTAAGTTCATGTTTTGCTTAAAGTGGCCGCAACCAGTACTTCTACCTAATTTACCTAATGTTTGTTAATGTTTACAAACCTTATATTTTTATACCAGGTACATAAATATAAGGTTTATAAACATAGACAAACGTTAGGTACATTTTTTACCTTATATACCTTTATATTTTGGTGCATTGATTAAAATAAGTTTATTATCAGTTAGTTATTTAGTCGGCATTATAAACGCAGTTAAAAGTGGCATGATGGATGACGCATTTACAAGACGAGAGCTTTTCAATGTTTGGCGAAATTAACCAAACATGTCAAAAAGAATATCGCGTGTGTGTGAATATACATATAATGATAAAAATTGGTTTGGAAGATTTAGATGGATATATTCAAGAACAAGTACAAAAACAAATTACCGAGTTTTGTAAAAAATCGTTAGACTAACTGCCACTATACAAGGTAACTTGAAACTTTGAAATACCTATATCAGTTGGTATGAATTTTAGGAAAAAAAATTTAAAGTAAAAATTAAATGATTCGGGAAATCAATCAGTACTAAAATTAGTCCTCATACTCTCCTCCTTATAGGGAGAAAGATTTTTTCATATTTGTAATAGATGGCGCTGTAATGAAAAAAAATCAATTTTGTTCGATTTTTCTTCTGTACCTATACGATTCTCCAATAATTAAAAAAAAAACTTGGTTTTATTTTTTAAATTTATTTATTTATTTTTTTAATTTACCTAAATAAAGTAGGTGTTGAAAATAAATAAATTTTTGCTCGACGAACTCTTTTTCGGTTGAACACTCCCGTTTGTAGTAAACTGTTTGACTGTACAGTGAAATGAAGTACGTGATCGATTTTTTTCTGGAAACGCTGAGCGTAGATATTAACAGCATCATCAAGATTCCTGCCTCAATAAATCAAAATCATTTCTATTTTTTCTTCCACTGTTAAAAACTGCTTAACGAAAGGAGGTCTTTTTGTTTGCAAATTAATCTTCGAACTAAATTGATTAAATAATGCTAACTTATGTATAAATAGATTCTTTATACCTCAATGATAATTATTTTTTTTTTTTTATGTATTTATTGAACCCAAAAAAACAAACGTTCATAACAGGTTAACATAAATATAAAATAAAATAAGGCTTTTTGTGTTTAACAAAATACTATAAATATACAATATATACAAAATAAATTAAAGTGTGTTATTTCTAGATAATAAATAATTTTTTATAGCTCTGTTAAAGTTTATAACATCTAAGTCCTTAATACTATTTGGGAGTTCATTGTACCATTGCACAGCCGTAGTAGTTACTCTCTTCTTTCCAATGTTTTTTGCACTTGGTAAAATATAAAAGTTTTGGTTTGTACGAGTATTGTAATGGTGAATATCACAGTTTTGCACCAATGTTATGTCAGTCTCTAATATATTATTTTTTATTTTATGTACAAGTTTAAGACTTTCTAATTTGACAATATCACACACTTTAAGAAGATTTAGTTCGCTATACAGCTCATTAGTTCTATAACACATAGGTTTACAAAACAATACTTTTATGAATCTGTTCTGGGTAACTTGTAGTTTTTCGATATCCTGTTTTCTGGTTTGTCCCCAAAATGCTGCTAAGTATGACATAACTGAGTGAACAT